GGGTTTTTCGGTCACGCTTTACCCAGTGTATGTATGTATGTATGTATGTATGTATGTCTGTATGTATGTATGTATGTATGTCTGTATGTATGTATGTATGTATGTCTGTATGTATGTATGTATGTATGTCTGTATGTATGTATGTATGTATGTCTGTATGTATGTATGTATGTATCTTCTGCACACCTTAGTGTTCATTTTGGCATGCTGATACCTCCCTTTTGTACAGATGGGAGTTCTTCTTGCTACATAATGAGTATGTAGGGCAGTGTTTCCTTATCTGGGGGTCTTGACCCGCAAGGTGATCACTAAGTGTTTTCTGAGGGTTCACAGGTCAATGTATTCTTAAAGGCTTTCAAGGCCGGGATCTGATGGTTGTTGTGGGTTTTTCGGGCTCTTTGGCCGTGTTCTGAAGGTTGTTCTTCCTAACATTTCACCAGTCTCTGTGGCCGGCATCTTCAGAGGACGGGAGTTGGAACTCAGTCCATGCTCTGTTGCTGTTTGTTGGATAGTTGAGTATTTATAGCTGTGGGAACAGCTTTTGTCCTATCAGGAGATAGGGTGATGATGGTGATCAGCACGTTTTAGTTGCGGGTGTATTGTTGTGATAAGAGGGAGAGATTATCTGTCACTGTGATTGATGGGTGTCTTTAGCAGGTCTTTTTTTTAATGCAATGATCCCTGGTCCTTGGGGCTGGGTAGAGTTTGTTGACCTTTTGCAGACTGTATTTTCCAGTGCTGGGAGCCAGACCTTATTAAGTTTTAGACTTTCCTCTTTATTGTTGAAGCTTTGTTGGTGTTTATGGATTTCAATGGCTTCCCTGTGCAGTCTAACATAATGCTTGCTGGTGTTGTCTAGTACTTTAGTATTTTGAAATAGAATTTCATGTCCAGCTTGAAAATCTGTTCATGTTTGCAGGCCACCTTATATGTGTTGTAGTAGCCCTTGTTAAATCATTTCTTCCTTGACCATTCAGAGCAGGATGTTAAAGTGAGTGCGTGTATGTATGTATGAGAAACAGGCTCTCTGGAGGAGAAAGAAGCCTCTACTTTCTGAGAAGATATTACTTTATTAAAAATGCCATTTTATGTGGGGTTTCACAGGTTACTTGGTTATTATAAAAGGAGATCATGATTCAGAAATGTTTCTGAACCACTGATGTAGGTAAGGGTTGGGTGGGTGAGCTATATACATGCTAGGCTATTCATTCATTCATTCATTCATTCATTCATTTAGGTAATGGAATTAATATATTGGCTACACTATATACCTTTCACTGGCAGTTTTCCTCTTGTGAAAAAGTATTAATATTTTTAAGGAAACACTAGAATTTGACTACAAGCAACCTACTGAGTAGCATGTAGTGGGAGACTTGTTAGACTAATACAATCCTTCAACAGCAAACATCACATTCATTCATTCATTCATTCATTTAGGTAATGGAATTAATATATTGGCTACACTATATACCTTTCACTGGCAGTTTTCCTCTTGTGAAAAAGTATTAATATTTTTAAGGAAACACTAGAATTTGACTACAAGCAACCTACTGAGTAGCATGTAGTGGGAGACTTGTTAGACTAATACAATCCTTCAACAGCAAACATCAGCAGCCCAATAGTACCCAAGCTAATTGACCAAAGTCTTTCTGAACATTTAAAAAGGCTTCCTTCACTGCTCCTAAACTGAAAAGATGCCATGTCACAATGGTCTGATGGAACATATTACACCGATCTTCCTTGGATTTAGACACAGCTATTCTTGTTGAAAGGTCAAACTGATACACGGAGATGGGTCTGCCCCATACCTTGGACCTTACAGTTTGGAAACATTACTTAAAAAAAATAACAAAAACAAAAAACTGGCATTAGTGCCCGGAGGATCCTGGAAGCAATGTTTTAAAGGACCCCTTGCCCTCAGCTGTTTTCAGCCACTTTGATTTACAACTGAGGTGGGCAACCCAGGTCCAACCCAGCATCCACTAAGGACTACACCAGGTGTCCAGGCCTGGAAATGCAGAAAAACTGGGGAAAAAACAAAACAAAACAAAAACCCCAGAAGTGACTGGAGGCCTGCTTTAACACACACACACCAGGACTGGGCAGGTGACAGGGTAGTCCAAACTCCCAATCCCAGAGGCTTCCTGGATCAAAATAACATTTTAACTCCATTTTTTTTCCTGGCATGAGGAGCTTAAGGGCTACAAAACCACTCTTGAAGGGTAATCCTTTTCTTACCCCTAATTTTCACAAAGCAGCACTCATTCCCTTTCGGCTTCAAGCTATGGGCATTTGCTGAATCCTCACAATTTGCTGTAATAATTATAACAAACACTGCAAGATTCCTGAATGAAAGCAGCCAAAGCAGTACAAAGAACATAACAAACATTAATTAAAAGATTCACACCACAGTCAGGAGTTTATTTTATATGGCACAGGATGTAACACAAACCACAACCTCAGTTATGCCTTCTTGTTCTCTCTTCCTCTCCCTCCCATCTCCTGGGAAAAATTAACAGAGACAGAACCAAAGACAATCAGTAGAGGGAGGGACGGGTTTCAGGACTCTAAACAAGAAGAACATGGCTATTATTCATGTGGCAATTGGAATATGAAGGCATGTTCTCTAGCAAGGAGCTGGTGGAGTCAGATGCCCAGCTTCAGACTTCTAATTGAAAATGACATGAAATAAGACACTCACTAGCCATGCAATAGCCATTTCAAAAGTTACAGACTAATGCAGGAATATGTAACCGATACCCAAGAAATAGTTTGGACTATAAATGCTATCAGCCACAGCCACCATGATCAGTTGCAAAGGATTATGGGATTGGTAGTTCCAAATATCTGGAGGACAGTAGCTTGCCAACCCTCAACTGAGTAGCACTGATTGTTGGGAAAGGTGGTATTCTGACACCACTACCCACACTTAGGATAGACAGAAAACCTTCTATTCACCAGATGTTTTGGACTACAATTCCCACCATTCATTATCACTTGACATTCATCTAGGGAGCCAAAGGTTTCCTACCCTTGCCTTCAAGGTCAACATTCCCCATGCTCTACAATAGAATGCATTGCTGCACAATGCATTATTGCCTAAAACTACTGTCATCAACTAGTAAATTAAAATCTACTGCAAATGCATTCCCATCCCAAATGAAGATGATTTCAGACACAGGAAAAACTGGATAATGTGTACCATTCTCATTCAACAGGCCAGACAAATGAGTTTGGTCTAACATATACTGTGTCCGTTGAAAGGTGATATGCACCAACTTCCTACTCTGCATACAGAAGGTCTCAAGTTCAATCTATGGCATCATTGTGTAGGGCTAGGAAAGCCTGCTTCCTGAAACTCTAGAAAGTTGCTGCTATTAGTACAGAATATCAGCCAATAGTCTGGTTCAGTATAAGATGGCTTGCTATCTGTCTGGTAGTAGAATAGCACTTGAAAATAACATCCTGAAATAGTTCCAAGTCATGATTCATCTGAATATAAGTGACATTCAGTGAATACAGATATCTCTTAACTTTAATCAAGGATGATTTAAAGTCCCAAGGATAAAGTAAATCTAGATCTATTGGTAGGTCTTTAGGTGATTTAGAAGAGATCATCAAGGGCTTCTGTTCACATGAACACTTTACAGACTGATGGGGGTGACCTGACACCCACATTTGTGGGGGGTACCCCTCAGCTCAGTCATGACCAGCCTATGTTGGTTCCCAATACAGTAGTGTATTAATAACAGTGACAAAATGACTAACACTGTCCTCATCCTAAAACCTAGATTACACTGCTGGAATAAAAACAAACAAAAAATTAGGAATTGACATTTGTGTGGAAGGATTATGACAAATTATGATGAAAACAAATTCCTGGACTCAATATTTCTTGTTTTTGAGAGCCATTTGGAAATTAAAAATGTTTGCTTCATTCACTAAACTCTAGCCTTACAGGTTCCATAAATTCCATAAAGGAGAGTTGCGGGTCATCCTGGTGGGAGATGATGGGAGTAGTCCAAAACATCTGGAAGGTATCAAGAGGAAGGTTGTTCTGGCTGTTGCATTTTTGTGGGGTTTTTTTTGTTAAAAACAAACACTGAAGTAGATCCTGAAAGCCTGAAGCCTTCTCCCTCCTGATTATAAACATCCAAAGTTTTGCCTTAAATTGATACATAGCAATAAATATTGACAGCAAGAGAGGATGAATATATTGGGCAGAATCCTACAGTTATTCATATTAAGGCTGGCATATTTTCCCTTAGTATCCAAAGCTCATTGACAAGATATAGGAAGTGCCTCAGTTGCATGGCTGATCACACAACTCATTGTGCAGCCAAGACGTGCTCTGGTTCGCTGTCAATTAGCCACAATCAGCTATTGCAGATTATGTAAATCTTATTCAACCACTAACAGGGTTTTGGGCATGACATTTAAAGAAGTGAGAATATTTCATCATGGAAAGCAGAACATCAGTTCCGAATTGGTGGAAATAGTTTCACTAGAATATTAGCCAGACTGGGTTGGCCTAAAAACAAGGTGATGAATTGCCAGGCTATCTCTGCTGCAGCATAAATTCCACCTCTGGAACCCGGAGAAGGGAAAGACTACATTTCTGGACTACAGCTCCCAGAACACAGCCATCCATACTGATACATATTTCAAGTGCTGAGAAGCCTTAAGACGTGTAATATGAATATGCTTTACAGTGGACCCTTGACTTACAGACAGCTTGACTTACAGACTTTTTGAGTTACAGACTTCTCTGGCCGCAAAATTTAGGTTTGTCTTGCAGACTGAGATTTGACTTACAGACCAGAAAAAAACCAAAATGGAACAAAAACGGCCTGTTACGGGATTAATCGGTTTTCAATGCACTGTAGGTCAATGGAGACTTGACTTGCAGACTTTTTGACTTGAGAACCGCCTTCCAATACGGATTAAGGTCTCAAGTCAAGACCCCACTGTAATACATTTCTTGCAGCATGGTGCCTTACCTTTGCTTCCTCATTGACATCCCAAGTAAAGGAGACAGCATTATAGGCAATTTCTTCAATATTCCCAATGGTGTTGAAGCTCTCCTTGTAATCAGCTGTAACACAGAGCACAGAAGAGCTTGTGGGTCCTTTTCTAAAATATGGACTCTTGTCCATATGCTCAGGTGTATTTTCACTCAAACTTTTTGGAATTACCACTCTGCATTTCCTTGCCTGCAAAAAGGTGTTACCTTGGCTAAACAATGTTTACTTACATGTCAGTGCTAAGGAACATATGTCACTTGCTGCAGCAGATAAACTTTGAAAGCTACTGTAGCACTATTGTTCAAGGATAGTATAAAATCAATTAAATAAACAAAAGAGATGAGCTTCCTGCTTTGGGGCGTAATTAACTGAGTCAAGTCCCTTCTATCCATCAGAATTTTCTTGGGACGTTTTACTTTCAGGAAGAAATATGGTTTTCACCACAGAGAAACAGCATGTATAATAAGTGGGTGAAATATGGGAAGTAACTAAAGTTGCAGCTTCACTAGTACCAGCAGCTATGGTAGCTAACCATGCTGAACATGAACAAATATTTCCAAACTAATTTTTTAATCTTGGTGAAAAGAAGAGATTGGAACTAAGGATTACAGTCTCCTGAATTTCCCCAACCAACAGGATATTGGGGGATTCTGGGACTTAACAATCCAAAAATATAGCTTCCCCAAACTCTGGTGGAAAGGTTTGTATGGTTCCTTACCATACCTTTCTGCCATGAGCCTCCCAAGTAATTGCTCTGTCTCTCTTGAATCAAGTAATTGTTCTTTTTTGCTGTCTGCTCCTATGTCCAAATTGTGGAAGCAGAAGTGTCATCATGGCAGGAGAGAATGGCAAGAGAGAATGTAGGGTACTGGCCCCTTGGCAGCTTCCTGACTGTACAGTAGGACCCCCATATTCACTGGGATTCCAAGCCGCCACCACCCCAGTGCGGATACCAAATCCATGGATAATAGTGAACACTACTGGAAAAGGGAAAAAACATATTTTTATACATCCATTACCAGAACTGGCCACGAGAAGGAGACCATGCTATGCATTCTTCACTAACAAGTATCCATAGCATGGTCTTCCTCTAGTGGCTGGTTCTGGTGTTACATGTGAAAATAGTTTTTTCTCAATTTTTTTTCTTTTAATATTTTTAACAATTGTAGACCATGGATAAGTGAAACCGCAGATCCTGTGGATACAGGGATCCTACTGTACTGCTTTGTGCCAATGTAGACCATGGATAAGTGAAACCGCAGATCTGTGGATACAGGGATCCTACTGTCTTGTGTTGTAGAAAAACTAACCATGCCAACGCTATCCATAATGAGAATGCAGCTTTATAGAGTAACAGAGTACAATCACTACTCTGGTTTCTCTTCAGATTGTATAAATCTTTCACCTTTTACTAGGTATTGTAAAATCTCAACTCAGTTCTTTGCATGATATTCATGAATAGGCTAAATCTTGTGGATAATGTGAGATTCAGATCTGTTACCTAGAAGGAGAAGGAGAAATGGTAAGCACTGGATTTGGAGGCTTTGATTATACTGCCTGTAGGATTCTCATATTTCCACAAACCAATGTTTACTATTTCCAAAGGGAAGCTTTCAGGCCTGATGAAGAACTCCTGAAGCCAAGATTCCCCACCCCAGTCTAGAAAGATAACTCAACATCTTCACAAACACTGACATTTTCAATTTCTCCTCCTCATTTTCCAAAAAGCCAATTCTCCCATTTGAAAACGCCGCAAATCTCTGTGCCCTGAAGGACTTTAGAAATTCCAAGCACATTGTTTCGCTTGTCCAGACAGCACCCCAGCCCTTTTGTACATTAACATTTTCTACACATTCAGATTTCTGTCACACAAACAAGGATGTAAATATTAACTTTCTCTATTATAGTACACGATTTGCTTTTCATTTTCCGGGAAAAAAAAGATGTAGCAATAGTGTAGAATTCCCCATGTGTGAATACAGAAAAATCACCTCACTGTTTGCACTTGCCAAGAGTTTTTTTCTATTAAAAAACACTTCAGAACAATTTTGTAACAATGCTTCTTTGAGGTTAGGTATATTACTAGGATTACATTACTCATGGATTTATTCTGAAGGTGTTTTGGTTCTTTGTTTTTAAAAATACAGACATTCGTAAGGTAACTTGTGCTTTTTGGATCACAGTACAGGGACCAGGAATTCTGCTCAGCTGCAGAAAGCATTTTGGAATGGTTTGCCGGAAGGCCCATTAGTGTTCATTCACAGAAACTGAAGAAGAATCTTAATGAACACTGCCAAAATAGAGAGCAGACACAGGATTTTTAAAATTCTATCTCTTGTGGGAATTGAACCTGAGATCATTCAACAAAACCGAATGGTGTAGTTAACAGGACAGATAAAAAGGAAGTACTTCTTTATACAGGTAAACCATGAAAAACCTTCTCTCAGACTGTAGTGGTTGCCAACAACTTGCATGACTTTAAAAGGCGACTAGACTACATGGTTGCCAAATGTGTCTCCTTGGAGAGGGGCTAGCCAAGTGTGTGTGGCTGGTGGTTTTATGTGTCCTGCCACCTGTCCATCCTTGGGCAAGCTTCATAGTCCCAGAGCATCAACAGGAGCAAGTAAAATACTTCTAAGTATCTGATACCTAGAAAACATTGAGAGGGACACTGTAAGTTGGAATTGACTTGATGACCCATTATTAGATGTATTTATGGAGGAAGAAGTTGCCAAATGTTACTAGTCACAATGGTTATGTTTTGCCTTGACTCTCAGGCACACTGTCTCTTAAGTGCTGGTTAGGGGTGTAATTAGGAGGTTGTGTTGCTGCCCTCATGTCCTGCTTGTTGGCTCCCCATTGCTATGAACAAAATACTCAGTCGGATAGAGTATGTCTCTTATTACATTAATGACAAAATAACTTTTCAGGCTAGAGAACACGCACAGGCCTGGTGTAGCCTCCAGACTGTGATTAAGAAACCAAGAATGTGCTCTAGGCTCACATGGCTTCCTTGCTCAGATGAATTATCTCAGAATAACCATCTGTCAAGGATGCACTCCTTGTATCTTTTATTGAGTGGTGGTTCAACCGGATGACCTCTTAAGTTTCAACTCAGTTGTATGATTCCATTGCCCTAAGACATGTAAAAGTCATGTCTACTTTAGACCACTATAGCTAAGAGTTAAATATGAACAACAAAAAAAGGAATGAAACACTATAAAAAGAGAAAATGATTATCCCTGATACATACAGCCTGAGGGGAAAGGGAAGGTAGAAGATGACAATATCCTTCAAATATGTAATGGAGTATGGCCAGAATAAGGGGAAGAGTTACAAATAGTGACAGCCGCTGATCCGCTGATTCTGAGAGGCAACAAGAATTGAGTTCTGTTCAGTGGAGAAGCACTCCAGACTGGAAATGGAAAGATGATGTGAAAGGAACAGAAAGTGAGGGCAGGTAAGGAGGATGCAGAAAGGCTGGTAATGCTCTTTGTGCTCAGATTAGCCACAAATTCAAAGCCTATTTCTGTGGAGTATATTTGTCAATGCCCAGCCTATGCACTGAGAGAAAGGTATAATAGACTTAATTAGTGAGAAAGACATATTAAACGTATACCAACATAAATGCTGCTCTTTTACCAGCATGTTTGGACCTACACCTGACTTACACCCAGAAAGAGGAAAAGTTACTTTGGGGGGGTAATAACTCCATATTATCAGCTTCCATGTTGACTGAGTTATTCTGGGAGTTTTTTCCTTAAAAAGTAGCTTTTCCCACATTTGGAACTTACTCCATGATCAGAAGCCTAGTGCTGATTTATACCAGCATAATTCCAACAGTATTAATGTCAACAGTGAACCACTGCTAGCCAAGACATCACCAATTGTGTTTCTCATTACATACTGGTGACGTGACTTGGTATACAATAAGAAATACAAGCTTCAGCTTCTTAACTGGCAGGAATTTGTTGCTGATATTTATGTCACTGGATTTACATCAATGTACGTAAATGCTAGGATTATGGCCCATGATCTAAAGTGGTTCACACTGACAACACTGTCACTATTACCTTCCACTTCTTTGCATATTGATTTTGTTGTTAAGAGCTGGATGAAGAGACTGCACAATGAGACATAGGCAAGACAGCATGAATATATAGGTCAGGCTCCTACTGTTATTCATGTTAAGATTGGCATATGTTGCCTTACTATCCTATAGCTGAATGTTTTCATCATGGAAAGCAGAAGATCATTTCCGAATTGGTGCAAATTGTTTCACTATAATATTAGTCAGCCTAGGTTGGCCTAAAAACAAGCTGATGAATTGCCAGGCTATCTCTGTTGCAGCATACATCTTACCTCTGGAACCCGGAGAAGGGAAAGACTACATTTTTGGACTACAGCACCCAGAATACTGCCATCTATGTGGGCTGGGATATTCTGGGGTCTGCACTTAGCAAAAACTTCCCCAAGGCTACAGTGCCACTCACCAATGTCAAGGACCCTCTGCTTAGCTGTGTGCTGTCGGGAATGCCAATATTTCCAATGCTTCAGCTGTTCATCCCGATTTTTATCTTCGCTGAACACAACCATGATTACGCTCTGGAAAGACCACAAGACAGTTATCGGGAGGCTGAAAGGACTTGAACTTTTAAAAGTAAAGCATGCTGCTTATATACCGCCCCATAGCGCTTCAAGTACTCTCTGGGCGGTTTACAAGTTAATTATGCAGGCTACACATTGCCCCCCCCCAGCAAGCTGGGTACTCATTTTACTGACCTAGGAAGGATAGAAGGCTGAGTCAACCTTGAGCCGGCTACCTGGGATTGAACCCCAGATCGTGAGCACAGTTTTGGTTGCAGTACTGCGGTTTAACCACTGCGCCACGAGGAAGGCACTCTCCAACCCTTTGGAGGCTTCCCCCACCCTCACCCCCACTGGCCCAGATTATTTTTTTCCTGTTTTCTTCTAAAAATTTGGTGCGTCTTATGGAGCAAAAAATACCGTAATCCCCAGTGAGCTGGGTACTTATTTTACCGACCTAGGAAGGATAGAAGGCTGAGTCAACCTTGATTGAACCCCAGATCGTGGGCACAGTTTTGGCTGCAGTACTGCGGTTTAACCACTGCGCCACAAGGAAGGCACTCTCTGACCCTTTGGAGGCTTCCCCCACCCTCACCCCCACTGGCCCAGCAGGCAGAAATTCCCAGATTGTTTTTTCCCTGTTTTCTTCTAAAAATTTGGTGCGTCTTATGGAGAGGTGTGTCTTATGGAGTGAAAAATACAGTAATTTTTTCCTTTGGGTTTTGCTTGGTATGTCAGAAATTTTCAATAGTCATACCATTTTCTGTTTCATTTTTGAAACAAGTCTCTGTCACTCCTGAAGCAAGCTTCGAAAAAAGGCAGGCATACAAGGAAAAAGAAATACACCCACCACTATCAACCAAATTTGGGGTTTCTGGGAATTGCAGTCCAAGAACATCAGAGTTACCCAAGGTTGGGAACTACTGCTCTAGTGCATCTCCTCCTTCATCAGTTACCCATGGAGACTGCACCTGATAGACGGCTAGCATTCTGAGTGGTGCTGGGCAGTAAAATCCTCTAGCCACGTGTCTGATTCCTCCAAGGGCCCTTGAACAACATAGCATCCTCAAAGACACTAGGAGAGCAGACAATGCTAAGCTGGAGGAATTGTGGGAAATTCAGACCGGGGCTAGATCCAGCTCCCTGGCACTGCTTGGAATCTTGGTGCAGGAAAATAATTACAGGAGACCTAGACCAGGCATGAGAAGTAAGCCCTATGCCATGGCACTCAGGCAGAAGCAGCTGGCCAACACTCAGCTATGGATGCCAGACCTGAAACCTTGCTCTTAGAGGCTGCTAATCTGGTACAAACTTAACCTTTCTTCATCTAGACAACAGATCACAGTAACTCCAACTCTGATACTGCGATCATTAGGAAATCTGCCATCAATTCCTGGCAATTGTTTGGGGTGTGGACTTACCACCTTTTGGCACTGGTTAGCTTAAGCTCTTTCTCTGCTCCCAGACATTTGGCAGCCAAGATCAAAAGATTCTTAAATGCCATCATTAAGCCAACTGATAATTCCTATGATTTGGATATCATTTTATATCACAGATGTGCTAGGTTTGGTTTTGCTCCCAGAATTCTTATGGACAAGAATGAGTCCGTCTGTCCGTCCATCCGTCTATCCATCCATCCATCCATCCATCCATCCTTTTACATCCAAACAATATTCCGAGAAGTAGATAGATAGCAAACACACTCATACACACACTGGTAAACAGATAACATAAATTTCACTGAACAACTGTACCCTGACTTTGCTGATAGGATGTCTGAAACATTTGTTGTCTCCAGTCTCACTCAGTGTTATAGCATAAAACTGCCCTTTGTTCAGATAGGTCATGGGTCCTTCTCCTTGCTTTTGACGTAGGGATTTTGTAGCCTCCAAAGTATACCGGAATGTGCTGCTGTATGAAAAAAGTTTTAAAAAACATGCACATAGAGAAAAGCATTAAAAACTTCCAAAGCCCTTGGGGCATAAAATTTAGGTATTAGACTGGCTTGGTTCTTTCTTATGGATGTGCTTCTGCTAGTTAGTCTCCACCTCCTCCACATCTTACTACGTACTACCCTCACTTAGTTTTTCTTGGGGTATCACTTCCTCCTGCATTCTAGGTTTTTTTTAATGGCATCAATATTGCACTATAAAAATCCATAGCGTGACTACACATGAAATTCTGTCTGCTTCCTACGCTATCTCAACACAAGATAATGCAGAGGTGGAAAATGCAGAAAACCACATCTGGGAAGATTAAAACATGGGGGGGAGAAAACAAAATAAGGCAGGACCTGCATATTCTAAACATATGCAAGGATGGAGCTAACTAAAGGAAAGTAGCTGCTGCCGCTACCTATGCTGGACAAGATTTGGGTTAGATGACTCTCCTCAGGTACAAGCTTTTGTACAAGGTGACAGAACCCAAAGCCATAACCTGGCAGAGATTTAAAAAGCTATAATACCAGAATCTGAAATTTCCAGAAATCATCAAATGATGGGAAACTCAAGACAGACAAAAAAAATATTACTTCTTTACACACTGCATAAATAAATTGTAGAATTCATTGCCACAAGATCTAGCTATGGCTAACACAGCTTTAATGGGCCATTAGACAATTTCTTGCAGGAAAAGACAATTCAGGACAATTTGCCATGATGCCCGTATGCCAAAGGAGCATCAGAAACAATATGCTTCTGAAGACCATTTGCTTGGGAACAAGAGCAGAAACAATTGTTAATACCAGTGTCCTAAATGAGACTTAAAGTTTACATGTGATTGTATTCTGGATCAAATTCCATTTTGCATATTATAAACATATGCAGGGATGGAGCTAACTAAAGGAAAGTAGCTGCTGCCGCTACCTATGCTGGACAAGATTTGGGTTAGATGACTCTCCTCAGGTACAAGCTTTTGTACAAGGTGACAGAACCCAAAGCCATAATGAAAAACATAAGAGCTTCTGCACTCATGATGCCTCTCTAAACTAGCTCTTGAAAACAACGCAATTAAATTGTCATTATTAAAACTCAATGTTCATCTTGATTTACTTACCTCTGCTAACTCTTCCCTTACTCAAATAAAGTACTGCATTTGAATTTTGAGAAGAAACAATTGATGAGTTTGGACCTAAATTTAATCTTCAATTGAATTCCTCTGGCAGGCTACTGAACAAACCTCTCTCACTAAAAATATGGAGAAGTCTTCAAATCCTTTTTGTAAAATAAGGTTGAAGTAGCCCTAGCTGTTGATTAATCAATAGCAATTTAGTCTGCTGTTAGTCAACAGAGCTTTCCAACAATACTGTTCAGCTGAGAGGTAACACACCAGACTAATTTTGCAATCTGTTTCCTAAACCAAAAGGGAAATTTCTTTCATGCAATCAATTATGTATGCCCAAGAGCAGAAGTAAGATGTAGGCACGGTTATTAAACAGAGCAACTTGCGTTTCTTTATTCGCATCTGCCCATGAAACCTAAAAGACATTATGAACAAAAATATCGACAGAAATAATCCCAGTGATTTCACTGTATGTGGATTCAGAGTGCTCTGATACAGATAACTTACAGTGAATATTTCCACCTAAAAGAGTACTAAATCCTACGTCTTCAGGCTCCAGTCTTACCTGATACTACTGAGGTCCTTCAAAAACAAAGAGAAGATTGATTTATATCATGGTGGCATTGTAAAAAAAAAAGGTATCTCTGTTCTCCACCTCTATGTTGCACTGGCAATGTACAAAATGGGAATTGTCCTTATATTGCTATGCATGATGCCCTTTCCTTCTCATGTATGATGTGGACGTTGGACTTATTTGATTACTTCCCAAGCAGAGAGCCTTCCTTTGGGCAAAGAAGTCATGTGTACAGACCAACCAGAGAGGTTTTTTTTTAACCTGATCCTCCTCCTTATTCCCTGGGGAAGTGGTAACAGCAGGATGAAAACTGAATTTCACATAAATCAGCTTTTCCTACACAGTTGCAGGAAAACCCATGTATTGCAACTACATGGCACAATGCCATGGAGAAACTATTACCATATAGCTGTGTGTGCTTGTAGAAAGAATTACAGTATAGACTAGGAATTTCCAGTGGCAATCAGCAATACTACGAAGGAGAAATTTTCAACAGCCAATCTTATATCTGATATCCCATCTATGCTTTTGTCTCTGCATGACACATACCGGTATATGAATTACATTAAATGCACCAGGGCTGGCCACTGTTACAAAGCAAATGTCCTCTTCTGAATTTCACAAGAGGGAACTAAGGCCTAAATTGAAGTACTAATTTAAACTAAAGTAATCCCATTGAATCAAGCTCTGAATAAATCTCATTTATTCAATAGGTCTATACTAGTTGGAACTATAAAGTGGATTCAGGCCTAAATTGCCAAGTTTGCAGAGTTACTGTGCTCTGAATGACATGCATAATGAATTTCAGCTTTCGCTTATTTGGAAAAATACCTGAATAACGTTAACACCTTTACCAGTTGGTGATTCAGTTCAAGAGAGAAGAATCAAAAAATAGAGGCTACCTACCTCTAACCATGGTTCTCCTAGTGGTCCTCTGTGAATCCACACAAATGGGTTGTTCTGCACCTGCACAGGATGTCTCGGAAGTTTCTAGAGCTTAAAGACATGTGATTAGTAGGATGTTCCCCTGTGGAGCACATGCTCCACCCTCCAAAAGTTCCCTCAGTTCTCGTAAGAGTTCGTCGCTGTCAAAGGCTTATATAAAAGACAACATGACGGACAGAGGGAAGGATGGGCGGGATGTGTGGATTCACAAAGGACCACTAGAAGAACCATGGTTATAGGTAGATAACCTCTCTTTCTTCTTCGTGGCCTCTGTGAATGCACACAAATGGAGGACTGACAAGCTCGCTTACCGGATGGTAGGACGTCACGGTAGAAAGATGTCAAGACCGCTCTGCCAAAAGCAGCATCATTCTTTGCCTGGACATCCAGACGGTAGTGGCTCACAAAGGTTGATGGATTAGATCATGTAGCTGCACAGCAGATGTGAGGAAGCTCTATTCCACGGTGGAAGGAAACAGAGGTTGACAGCACTCCAGAAGCTCTTAAATGTTCAGGAGGCGTCTTGCCTGTGAGCTCATAGGCCAATGAAATAGCTTGAACAATCCAACGAGAGAGAGTTTGAGGCGAAGCAGGGTCACCCTTATGAGGGCCATGAAAACATAAGAGCCTTGGAGACTTTCTGAATGATTTATTTCTATCAATGTAGAAGGCCAAAGAGCATCTTACATCAAGCATGTGGCGCATGCACTCGAGAGGTGTAGAAGGAGATGGAAATAAAGTTGGCAAAATCAATGGCTGATTGAGATGAAAATCAGAGACAATTTTAGGTAAAAATGATACATCAAAATAGAAACAAAAATAGAGGGTAACCTTATCTGGATGAAACTGAAGGAAAGGTGGGTCTCATCTGAGGGCTGCAAGTTCACTGGCACATTTAGCAGAAGCACGCACCGCTTGAAGGGCCCTGGGGGGGCATAATATGTAGGGAAGGGAAAGGTGGGGGGGGAGAAAAAACCATGTGAAGAAGAGAAAATGAATGGAATAGATAAAAGAAAAAAGCAGATAACTTACAGGGGAATATACAATAAAAGAGATGAGTGGAAGTATGGAATAGATAATTGAAAATAGCCAAATTGGTTTAAAGGATTGGTCTCAGTAATTGCTCTAACGTTCCAAAAGAAGTCCAACTGAAGCAGCGGCAAAAAGGAACTGAGGGGACCTTTGGAGGGTGGAGCATGCGCTCCATGGGGGAATGTCCTACTAATCACATGTCTTTAAGCTCTAGAAACTTCCGAGACGTCCTACACAGGCGCAGAACAACCCATTTGTGTGCATTCACAGAAGACACGAAGAAGAATAGGGCATAGGTATTCCAAATAATAGAACCCCAGTATCTTCAACAATGGGATGGTCACTAATGATAGGAAAATAATAAAATCTATTTAATAAAATTAGGTCCTGATGCCATATATTTTAGCTCAAAGGCAGTGAAAAACGTCCATTAATCCATCCATGTGCTGCCATAACTTACGTGGGTGTCTGTTCATAAATGTACTCCTCAGGTCCCACAGAGCCACTGCGATACTTCTGGAAGAAGGAAAAAACGTTTGCCTCATGAGTAGTCAAACAGAAGGTCAAGTTGAATTGCCCACATCATGATAGTTAAAAGATTACCCATATGATTAGGCAATTCATCTATCAATTATATCTCCATAAAATTGCATATAAGTTAAAACAGCACATTGGTTCCAACCTTTGCCATGCTTAGGATATATCTAAATGAGCATTAATTTAGTCATGAGTCATGACTAGCAAGTCATATTGATTTTAATAGGCCCATTCTAAGTATGATCACACCTGAACCTAGCCTAACACTTCTGAAGGCAGAAGCATTCTTTGATTTAAAAGAAGGCACAGAAGATAACACACATTATCTTTAAAAAGTTATTCTTGTCTGTGGGGCAGAAAAGAGGGGACGCCTCTCTTTAAATGGTGCTTATCATTTGCACTTTTTGTTAATGCTTATCTTTTCTGCTTTCTAAGAAACATTTGTAAAATCTGCTGTCCAAATTAAAGTGATCTTTAGTTAAAGTATTTTTTGAATAATTCCTTGAAACAATTAAACACTGCAGGTCAACATAGAAAGGGGAAACTGGCAAAGTTCTGATTCTTTGTTCACAAGTAAAATCCATAGCCTACATACATTTTTTCAAACTGTAACTCCCCCACCCCAGCTGGCATGAGAGCTGTAGCCCACAAAAATACATTTCCCAAGCTTTGTATTTTAATTATGGTTAAAAACATGCCATTCTTTTGTATTTTTAAGCAATTTAAAAAATGAACAACTGATGAGATCAATCCAATTGTCCATTTTTAAGCACATTTAAAAGTGCTGGTCTTTACCTATAATATCCTACAGAATGTGGGGCCAGCCTATTTGGATTATATCTCCCTATATGAGCCTTCATAGGTTTTAACATTGCACCAGGCGCTTCCTTGGATCTTGCTACTTTCATAGGTGTGAAGGAGACCAGGCTGGTTCTCTAAGAAAGGCCAGCTCGGCCCTTCCTGGTAGGCAAAGAACCTTCCCTTCAGACTCACATTTGGTAGCTGAGGAAGAAGGGGCTATTAATGGGAGATGCTTAACTTCTTACCCAATTTGGGTGTTGTGAGACAGAAGACAGAGTGGGATATCCAACTCGCTGAAGAGCCGTCCCTCCTCCACGACGAGGATAAGGAAGCAAGACCCCAGCCAGCACCAGAAACTACAGAGAGAGCTCAGTAGGGGACAGAAATAGAGGAACTGAGTGAAGAGATACAGAAAATAACGATGGAGGAGGTTCCAGAGGAAAAGGCGGGAAAAGAGAGGAAAAAGAGGGTGGAGTTTGAGGTAGGAATAGGCGAGGTAAGAAGGAAGAAAGGACAGTTGCCGATAAGGAAGCAAGACCCCAGCCAGCACCAGAAACTACAGAGAGAGCTCAGTAGGGGACAGAAATAGAGGAACTGAGTGAAGAGATACAGAAAATAACGATGGAGGAGGTTCCAGAGGAAAAGGCGGGAAAAGAGAGGAAAAAGAGGGTGGAGTTTGAGGTAGGAATAGGCGAGGTAAGAAGGAAGAAAGGACAGTTGCCGCAAGGTTGGGAGGAGGTTCCAGAGGAAAAGGCGGGAAAACAGAGGAAAAAGAGGGTGGAGTTTGAGGTACGAATAGGTGAGGTAAGAAAGAAGAAAGGACAGTTGCCACATGGTTGGGAATGGGTGTGGATGGAGGATCCCTAGACAGGATCATGCGAGAGACTAAGAGTGCCTAAGGACGAGGCTGATTGAGGAAGGAGAAGAGAGATTCCACCCAGACCCTCTTATTGGGGTGGAAGCCAAGGCGAGAGAGTGGAGGAGAGGAGGAGACAGAGAGGAGAAAGAGAGAGTTGATAGAGAAAGGAAGGACTAGAATGGAGAAAAAGAGAGATGAGGAGGAACACTTACAGGGAGAGAGATGGAATGACGACCGAGATGTCGAGACCCTGCCCCTGTTGGAGGGTTTGACGGGGCAGACCATAAGAGACTGGGTCCTTTCAGATTTGCCGGGGCCATGGAACACTAGTTGTGGAAACCCCTTTGGGACCCGTTGGCAGAAGGAGAAAAGCCTCAAGATCATGTTAGGGACACTTGTTTAATGTTAAATACACCAATACATCTTTCACCTGTTTTGAAGCAACAGAAATCTACTGATTGCTTTGAATCAAACATGGAGCCAAAAGCTGAACCCTCACAGGTCTGCTTCTAACTTGTTTGAAATGCTTGCTATTCAGTGATTGTTTTAATATGATAATACGTTTAATTGCTTTTTAATACTGCAATTTATTATCTTACAAATATCCCTCTATCAGGAGACAGACATGATCACAAACAAACAAACAAATTTAAAAAACACAAGAAAACCATTCTGATGTCCTTTGAGGACAAATTGGACACATCAGTGACAAATAAGGAAGCAAGTCATCAATTCCACCCCAAAAGTGACCTGATTGACACACATACCTCTGCTGCGCCATCTTTAAAAGTATCACTGTAAGTACTGTCAGGAGTACTGCGCTGGTCATCTTTCACATAAGTTGAATGGGATGTGATGCTGGGCACTTCGTAGTGTCCATGTTCAAATATAACCCCTCGGTGTTCTTCACTTTCTCCCCGTACATAATGCACTGATGGAGCCATATAAATAGGTGTATATTCTTCTGCTTTCACTACCATAACTCCTGTCACAGAAATGGATGTTGGGCTTCCGGATACACTCGAACTGAACTGCTCCCTTTTGGAAGTCTCCAGCTGCTCTTGATTCAAGGAAAGGTTTACGGGGACAGTTTTCAAGACTTGTACCCTGTTTTCACCACTGCTGTTCAGGTTGCTGTTCTGAGATTCACTGGTAGGAAGACAGTTTCTGAGGAAAAAACAAACAAAGGATCTTGAGCTCAGTGTTATCATGCCATCTTAGCAATGTGGTATAGTGTGTGCAAGCCTCCTAACCTTTTTGGGCCACTCATTACGTTAGGTATTTTAACCTAGTATTGTGGACTGTGTCACAAAATGGCTGCCAAGGTAGTGATATGCAGACAAAATTGGAGAGAAGGGGAAATTTTCTCCTGTGAACTTCTTCAAATTAATTTATTTTGACCACAATATTAGTCCTGAAGCTATTATGGATGATGGATGATGTTTGGCTGTACTCAGAGATGGAAAATGTATGCTTTTTACTGCAACCCCAAGAATCCCATAGACACCATAGCCTGTTGCCATAACAACTATGAGATTCTGAAAGATAAAGTTTAAAAAACCCACCCAAATATTGCCTTCTCCGGCTATGACTATATTCATACAGAGTTTTTACACCACATATTTTGTGCTAGGAAAATATTAATGAAATGAATACTGGTATTAGGAATGAACTATAAATCTTTACATTTAGATCAAAATATATTATTTTTTAATTGCTCCATTCCTTCTTACTAATACATCAGCTGGGGAAAATGCTATGAATTTTGTATCACAGTAAACTGGGAGAGCAGCTGTTTTGGTTGCTGTCTAATGTAATGCTCAAATTTCTCTTTCAATATGTTCAGCTTGACAGTTTCTTCCAATTCATGGGTTTTTTCCCCCAACTTGGCTAATTTCATTCTGAGCTCTTTGTCAGGTTACTTTCCTTAACAGCCTTAGTGTAGTAGTTATTTTTAATAATTTGGGACAGAAGGGAGAGAAGGAAGATAATCACAAGACAAGAGCTTTTTCTATTCCTGGCTAATCAAATAGTGTTTGATTGTACCTTACTGATGTGCTGTTTGTTAAAAAAAACTTTACCTTTTATCATGATCTTCTTGATTATCATTCACTTTGTTAACAGATAATGATCTTGTTTTATCTCTGGGAATCTGAAAAAAAGAATAGATGTCACAGATAATACTGTTTATCTGTAAACAAACAAACCAATCTGAACATTTGAGCAAGGCCATGGATGGAGAGGTTGGTTATGATGATGTACAGTCAGTCTGGTGGCTGGCATGCTATTATCTGACTCTGGTTACAATTCTATCTAGCCTACTAATCATCATCGCTGTCGTCATTATCTTATAGCTGTAGAGCTGGAAGGACTCTATGGATCATTGAGACGAGCCCCTGTCAAGGAGGAACAGTGGGGAATTGAACTCTCAGTCTCTAGCTCTGCAGCCAGATAGATACCTAAGCCCCTGAGCTATTGATGATTAAACAGATTTTAAAATGATGGTGTCACGACAGTAGCCACACAACATAAAATTTCAGGGCCATACAGCATAAAATAGTAGATGCATTTTCTGTGTAGTAAAAATACTTTAAAATTATATACCACTAAAGAGTAAGATTAGGATGTGGATGGTTGTTTCATCCTTTTCTCCTGTCCTACAGTCCCAATGTAAACCGACTCTCCCCACGGCCCAGATTTGTTATGGCTCCAACGAAAGCTTCCATTCCAAGCAATACGGAGGCTTTTGGAGAAGGAGGGTTAGAGGCTGCTGCAGCACAGAAAGCAAGGACTGAAAGAAACACACCCTGTGCATTATGGTTGCAGTCCTGAACTATCCCACTTCATAGTGGGTGAAAATAAGAGCAAAAAAGATACTAAGGTCTTCAACAGGAACATTTAGCATTATGTGCAGTGTTGACCGTTGCTCCAAGAAAAAGGCTGTAAATGTCAAAATATATACATGGTAAACAGTAGAATAAACTATAAACACACCCACCCACACTCACTTACCCCCAAAAAAGTCCCAAGCAATATAGCAATCTTCAATAGCAGCAAAAAGAAAATTGAGACAATGCAAGCAACCAGGTAAGATAGACATACTGTATAACCATCTCCCTAGCGTAGTCTTGCCTACCCTTGTAGGTGTTTTTAATACTACAGCTTCCAACTTCCTTAATTGCCATGTTGGCTAGGGAGAGAGTCGGAAATGTAGTCAGGCAGGCATTCTACCATCTTGGTTGCCTCACAAAAAAGTTCCAACCTGTCTGCAGATCATAACGAAGCATATTTTTAAGGCAAAGGGGCAAATCTTGGAAGTTTTACTTTTCTGGACATTGACTTTTAAAATCCCCCAACTAGCACAAGGGATTTGCAGAGCTATAGTCCAAAAAGTAATTTTTCTGAGTTCTGGCAAAGGGATACAGCATAGATAGGGTGTTATTAAAGAGAAACTTGCTTTAGCTTTAAATAGTGAATTAATAAATTCATGACATTTAGGACCATCAGTGGCTACTAGCCATGAAGGCAATGTTTCAATTCCAGTTTCGGAGGCAGTAAGAATATGTATATCAGTTAAGGAATGTGAAACAGAGGGTGTATTTGTATTCATGTGCTCCTGGCTGGCTTCTCATGGGCTACTGTGTGGACATAATGTTGTACCACAAAGGCTATGGGTCTGATCCAGCAGGGTTCTTTTTCCATTCTGATGTTCCCATATGACAATCAAAATGTACAGACAGTCATGGAGGTGAAGACAACTCTTTTATAGTCTGACCTCTGGCTCCACAGGGATTGATAAATTTTATTAACCAGAACTTTGAACGAAGGTCCCAGAAACACCAGGAGATCATAGCTTGAACAACATGTCTGTCATTGTTTATATTTTATTTCGCTTTATGAATTTTCTCCCAGAGATTTCAAGAAATCTGAGATACAACATTTGATCTTCCTACCTTATAATAATCATATAGTAATCCAAGAGCAGCAGCACTGTCCTCATCCCCGTTAATGCTCATCATAGCCTTAGTAGCTGCTGTTAAGGGATTCTCCAGATAAGATTTCCACGCTTCATCTTCACTGGTGTACGCTCTTCTGCTATTGAATGCAGCATCACTTGGCACTATAGTCACAAGCCGGTTTTTACTGCAGGTTAGAAACAGGCAGATACACATGAACGTATGTTTTCAAGGATGCTAAAAAAACCCTCTCCTTGCAACTTCAGGGATCACATTCAAAATTCAATAGAATGCCTGATTTTGGACAGAAAAAGAACACTTAAAAAACAAAAAATATATAATGGAAATAGTTTAAAAAAAAAACAGTAAAGGAATTGGTCTTGATTACCCCACTAAATTAGAGGGTTATACTTTACACATTGTAGCTAAAAACTCCAGTTTGCATCTAGAATGCATAACAGCTGTTTATCTTTGCACATTGCAAACTTTCCCCATTTTTATTCACAAGCAGATTTAGAATGAGGTTTATTCGATGCACTTCAGAAGGTATCTGTTAGAAAAATAGTATTGCAAAACTAATATAGTTTGTTTTGAAAATAGCAGCTTAGCACTGTGATACATTCAAGGAGGAAAAAGGAAGGAGAATTTCCAGCAGGTCAGTGCTCAAGGCTATATACCCGGGGTCCACAACCCCACTGGGACGCGGAGACAGATCTCCCACCCTCACCCCCACGCAGGCTCCCCACGCACACCCACCTGCACGCATGGGTGCCCTGCCCACCTGCGCATGTGTGCACGGGTGTCCCGTCCATCCGCGCATGTGCGCGAGTGCACCCTGCCCACCTGCATGAGTGAGCCCTGCCCACCCACGAGAGCACCCCACCCACCCGCACATTCGCATGCGCCCCCACCCCCTGAACACAGACACTGCCCCCCCAACCAGTCCACAGTTTGGAAAAGGTTGGGGACCACTGTTATATACAACCAAATGAAATCATAGTGGATTCTCATCTTCAGTTGTTTGAGTGAAAAACTGGCTACACGCAAGGACTCCTGGAGGTGGGGGTGGAATGATTTGAACAGACATGCCTGAACTAAGAGGTCTAGCCATAAAGCTCATTTTAAGATGAGAAACCACATAGTTTGCCCTATCTTTCTACTTTAGAGCCATGCTTCCCTCTAGCCCCATATTAGAAAAATCTTTCAATTAGTCCACTAACTCACTAGAAGACAGTCATGGATAGGAGATGTGAAGATACTTTTTCCATCAAGAACAAATAAATGTGCTTGTGGGAATATGGGAATAAAGCTGTTTTCCAGTAGATTTTATCATCTCTACGACAGACATAAATGTCATATTGTTCCGTGTAATGTAAAATAGAATAGTTTTTCTACAGTACTAGAGACTAGAATATCGTCAAGCAAAATAAGTAACCCTACACAGTTTGGCTACCTTGATTTCCTCTACGTAATTCAGTATTGATAACAAAAGGACTGCCTGGTGACCTTCTGTTTTCTACTGACTAAAAGGCTGTGAACTCAAATAGGATGGATACACCTGTAGCTTTATTGTGGGGATTTATACTATCTTGAGTGCACCATTTAACGTGGTGAGATGTTGTATGGAGAATCAGAAGCTAGTAAAGTTGGAAGGCTAGACTCCGTTAGGAGACTAGACTCTTTGTGAGGTCTCCCAAGGTGGAATTGTCAAAGCTAAGTGTCAGACTAAGGTGCATCCACTTAAGAAATTAATGATTGCATTATCAGAAAATAATGGATAGATCCAAGGATGATGAGGAGCAGCCACTTGACAGTGGGAATACTGAAGGTGACACTGATAGAGGATCTCTCATAGACAATGGGAGTGATATTCAAGCAAACTTTTATTTTTTAAATTAGGCATCCTTCAGTCTCAAGAGATTATGGTAACATGCTCTGTATGGAGGACGAGGGACAGCGTCTAATGTGGCTGAGAAGGCCAATTCGAGAGTGACCATCCCCTCCACACTGAAGACAAATACAATCTGTCCCCTGTCCAGCTCCCTGGTTTTGCTGCTTTTGTGACTTCCTCTTTGCCTCGGCCTGCTGGACAAGTGTCTCTTCAAAATGGGAGAGGCCATGATGCACCACCTGCCTCTAGGCGGAACGCTCAGATGTCAAGATTTCCCATCTGTTGAGGTCCATTCCTAAAGCCTTCAGATCCCTCTTGCAGATGTCCTTGTATCACAGCTGTGGTCTCCCTCTGGGGTGATTTCCCTGCACTAATTCTCCATACATGAGATCTTTTGGAATCCGACCATCAGCCATTCTCACAACATGCCCAAGCCAACTTTTATTAGCATAATGCAAAAGAAGGCAATAGTAAACTACTCCTGATTATTTTATACTTCAAACACCTTATGGGAACACAACTGAAAATGAAACAAGACATAGTGATGGAAGATGAAACTCTCAGGTTGGAAGGCTCTCAATCAGCTACTGGGAAGAATAAAGGATAGTTCAGATAGCATGGTTCTTAATGACGCAACCAACAAATACAATCTGTCCCCTGTCCAGCTCCCTGGTTTTGCTGCTTTTGTGACTTCCTCTTTGACTTGGCCTGCTGGACAAGTGTCTCTTCAAAATGGGAGAGGCCATGATGCACCGCCTGCCTCTAGGCTGAATGCTCAGATGTCAAGATTTCCCATCTGTTGAGGTCCATTCCTAAGGCCTTCAGATCCCTCTTGCAGATGTCCTTGTATCACAGCTGTGGTCTCCCTCTGGGGTGATTTCCCTGCACTAATTCTCCATACATGAGATCTTTTGGAATCCGACCATCAGCCATTCTCACAACATGCCCAAGCCAACTTTTATTAGCATAATGCAAAAGAAGGCAACAGTAAACTTCTGATTATTGTATACTTCAAACACCTTATGGGAACACAACTGAAAATGAAACAAGACATAGTGATGGAAGATGAAACTCTCAGGTTGGAAGGCTCTCAATCAGCTACTGGGAAGAATAAAGGATAGTACAGATAGCATGGTTCTTAATGACGCAACCAGATTTAAGTTGAATTGACATCTAGTCGCAAATGTGCACAGAGGCAAAATGAAAATCCAAAGTTACGTAATGCATAGAAGTGGCACATGGATTGGAGGAACTATACATCAAGATAAGCTAAAAGTTGTAGAAGAAGAAATGGAATGTTTAAACATTGTAATTCTCAACATATTTTATTTTAACCTGAGCAGGGCTGTTAAAAATTGGACTTTCTAGAGGTCATTAATTCATAGCATTGCCATGTCTGAAACTTGAAAGCACATAATTACAAAAAGTCCAGGGTCCATTCACCTGATCCCTTACTCTGTGTCTATTTCAACAACCAGCTCACCCAGACATTTCTGCCCTCTTACCAAAGTTAGTCTTCATTGCCCTGTGACATCACAGGGTCTACCTATGTGTCTCATGTTTACTCTCTGAAAGCTCAGGCAACGGGATGCTAGTCACCTGGCAATCCTATTCCTGTCTTCTTCATTACTGTATATCTCAAGAAAACATGAAGAATACATGCATTTAAAACCATGGCTTTCTTTGCACCCATTTCTTTTGTAACATCATTTTGCCTGATAAAGATATTGATCTTGAAAGTTTAAGCAACTTTTTGTCTCTTGTTTTGGCTGGCCAAATGAAGATATCACCTTGTGCCCAATACAGAGTTTTCAATTTGTCCTATGCCAACACAGCTACCCCTATATCTCTGAATCCAGTATAGGATGCAGGAAATGAATTTAATAGATTCCAATAGTGTAGCTTTATTTGACAATGGGATAGACTGGCTAATGTCTGCCAGGGCAAAACTTTTTGTCTCTTGTTTTGGCTGGCCAAATGAAGATATCACCTTGTGCCCAATACAGAGTTTTCAATTTGTCCTATGCCAACACAGCTACCCCTATATCTCTGAATCCAGTATAGGATGCAGGAAATGAATTTAATAGATTCCAATAGTGTAGCTTTATTTGACAATGGGATAGACTGGCTAATGTCTGCCAGGGCAAATTTTTGAGCATGGGAGTCCCACAGCTAGAGTGTTATACTCTATTCACTCTCAACAGGACATCAGTCAATTTTCTGAAGTTTCGGCACAAATTGACTAAAATTTATGTTTCTGTATTGTGTGTGTGCATGAGAGGCAGTGTTCTATGAGGTTTTTCAGTGAATAATTAATGCTGAGAAGCAGAAGTGTCATACCCTGGCCTGTCTCATGTTTACTCTCTGAAAGCTCAGGGAATGGGATGCTAGTCACCTGGCAATCCTAGTCCTGTCTTCTTCATTATATCTCAAGAAAACATGAAGAATACATGCATTTAAAACCATGGCTTTCTTTGCACCCATTTCTTTTGTAACATCATTTTGCCTGATAAAGATATTGATCTTGAAAGTTTAAGCAACTTTTTGTCTCTTGTTTTGGCTGGCCAAATGAAGATATCACCTTGTGCCCAATACAGAGTTTTCAATTTGTCCTATGCCAACACAGCTACCCCTATATCTCTGAATCCAGTATAGGATGCAGGAAATGAATTTAATAGATTCCAATAGTGTAGCTTTATTTGACAATGAGATCGACTGGCTAATGACTGCCAGGGCAAATTTTTGAGATTATTAATTTGTTAATAAAATAGCAATTGTTGAACTATGCTAAAATCCTTAACATAGGTTTGATTAACTTCCTAGATATAGATCATTAACTCTGTCATATGCTCTATTATTTTCCCTGCCTGTTTAGAGCCCAAACAATCCAATCTGACTCTTTCAGTTTTATTGTAGTATATTCACCTTGCATGTTGGCTTAGTCTAGGTAATGTTTTTGTCTAAAGTCAAGGTGATAAGTCAATGGTAGTAGGCAACTGAAACAACGGAACAGATAAACAGAAACATTACCCTTCATATGCCAGGACCAGACATTTTAGTCCCCATTTGTTTGTTTGCTTGTTTTTGCAGAATTCAAATAAAACCAGACCTATATGGTAGAAAATTTATAGTACTTTCACCTAACCAGTGGTGGATAAAAAGTAGCATCTTTTTGATTCCTTCTGCTCATACAGCTTTTGTTATGGTCCATTGGGTTAAAACTTGAACTCTTTCAAAGCTTACTCAAAGGGGCATTATTGAAACCATGGCACAAGTGGAAAGCCCATTGCTTTAAA